AAACCATTTCCGAAAAACGTCCGAATCGAATTTGAATGACAAAGTATCCGCAGGTTTTCATTCATAGGTTCCACCCAGTGATTTGCATATCCAAACAGAACGACGGAAAACGTTTAGGCTACCGGTGGCTAAATGTAAAGTAGTCCGATCTGAAGTTGCTCTCGACAGTGGCAAAGAAGGAAAAACTTACATATGCGTAAATGCCCCGAATAATCGATGGATGACTCGTCATCTCGCATTGTGACATGCGAAAATTTCCATGAGAATAAAAAATATCGGAAGGAGGGAAATCCTGACAATAGATGGACTTCCCCAATATCCACTGTAGACAGGTGTTCCGTGCAGAACGGAATGAATAAATCTTCCGGAAAATATACATTCCCTCCATGCCCTCGCTCCAAATAACCATGAATATATTTCTGTGGCAATTTAGCGCAATGTGATAACTCTAATGCGTTATTTTCGGATACGATTAGGAGTCGACGATTATTCGACGTTTGTCGATTGATCGACTTTCTATGAAAAAGTAAAAAATCAATTCATGGTGGAAAAAGGGTAAAATTACCGAGTGAATTTACGAATAATGGGTCTTTAAACGATAAGTTAATTCTTGGAATTTGCCGTTTTTATTGAAAATTACCAACGAGTGGACCAACATTTTTATGGAGCGCTGAATATTCATGCTAAATAATTGCTTATGATTCATGAAATTCCCGAGTAATTGGATCACATGATGTAATAAATGTATAAAAACTGCAATTCTCTCGAGAAACTAGAACTCTACACATAAAATATTCAGAGCAGTCATTGTTTATTTGTTCTTTTATGCAAATTACCCCAATTTAAATCGAGAATTCAATTGAAATTGACAAATTTAGCATAAATTTACCACAAATACCCACCACTCTGAACAATTCGTAATTGAGAATAAAAAAATTTCCCCACACCGCTAGTTTGTCGAGAGATCAATCAACTTGGAAATGGTGATTCCACGAAAAAAAATCAATCCCTCCATTTAATCCCCTCCAATTCATATTTATTTATTCTCACAAATCTGAAACCAATGATTTCCCCTTTAACTGCACCTCCGAGAACTGCCTAGTGACACGAATAAATCCACCTGCGATAATTCCCAAGTGAAACAACCAGGCGATTTCACTTTGACGTATTTTTCAACAATTTGTACCAATCAATTGAAACCAATGGAAAAAGACAAACGTTGAAGAGGTGGCGATGCAGGCGCCGTATCGGAAGTGTGTCAAATTACAGAGGTCCGCGGATATTAATGACTCCTAATGACAAGTCCCTCTCCCCTCGTTACTCTTCCACCATAAGCCACTGGGACCCCTCTCTCTGTACCTGTATGCATCTCCCCCGGCTATACAGGGCCCCAGATGAATACCAAGGGGTGAGGGGAACGCTCCACGGATTCACGGAATTCACATTAAAATGAAAATTACTAATTGACGGAGGCTAATAGCAATAAGACAAACAACGAACTAAATGCTACATATAAAGTAAAATACCGGGTTCTCTTGAATTTTTCTTCCTCCTCGTGGCTTCTCTCCCCTTTTTTCCTTTTTTTTCTTTTTTCTTCACTCATTTCGCATTGGCATGTAGGCGGATACAGTGAGAAAAACATTTAGTGAATTGAAAACATAATTGATTTGACACTGGAGGATTAAACGAATGAATAGGGAATTGTGCTGAATATTGAATTGAATAAATTTATTTGAAACTAGTAATTAAAATTCTGGAGTTTGATTGTCATTTTATTTGTTGGTAAGAATTCAAAATTGAAATTAGTATTCGTGAAAATAAACCTGGGGATGCGTTCAATGTAGAAATATAATCAAAAATAGTATTTGTAATAAAATTAAATAGTTTATTGTTCTCTTTCAATTTTGTCTAATTATATCATCACGAGTAGGTGGATTTATTTTTATTACAAATTTGTTAAAAAATATTTTCTATTTTTATTTTCTTTTATTTTCTTTTTAATTTAATATTACATATTTACTAGAAAATATTTTCTATTTTTATTTCATTTTATTTTCTATTTAATTCTCACGAATCTATCAAAGGATTTAATTAATGAAATAATTATTTCAAAAATAATTTTGATGATTTTAAATTTAAGAAGAACAATCATTTTTGGTTGTAAACAAATAGGTTTACTGCATTTAACTAAATTTTTCTCTCGGTGCATCGGATTTCTACAATTGATCCTTTCCCTTCGGTCAAACCGGTTGTAACTAGGAGTGGGAGGTATTTTTAACAGGTCAATGGGGCTTGTAACAATGTCTTGCCAATCATTCACGCGATTTTAGAGTAGCTTCACGACTTCAGGGAGAGGATCTGTCGTTTTTCGCGACTTCTAATGACGTGTAAGAATGAAAGCCGAAGGTCTAATGGTGACATCTTCAGCAAAACGAACATCTAAAGTTTTTTTTTTCAAGTTGTTCTTAGAGTTCTTAGGAGTTATCGGCACAATATGATATTGGATCAGGGGTGTATCCAGGACTTTTCTTTTTAGGTTTTATTTTTTTTTAGTCTGAGGGATGAGACACGTACGCTGTCCTCGTAAAAAACGAGGGAAGACGTGAGGGTGACGGAAGCGATGACACCTGTCACGTATAGGCATCTACAGAGCCGACAATTTTTAATGCTTTTTCTAACTGGTTTGACTTTTTGATAATTAGGCGAAATTGCGTCTCGGGATTTTGAAGTTTACGATCTACTTTTGCTCTTGTTCTCCTAATTTTTCCTCGACCACTTTGTATACCTATAATCCAAATTAACGGTGGAGAAGTTGAAAAAAAAAAGGGGGCCATTTCTCGGTAAATGCTGAAATGACAAACCCACCGCCGACGCTGTGCGAATGTAATTGGCTTTATGGTGGAGTTTTTACGTGGAAAAAATTAGCCTGCTACGATAAAAGGGGGACGCGCTGAGGGCCCCCACAGGGCACTGAGCCACAGGAATTTGTTCATTTCTAATGACCCTCTTATTTCCATTTTGTCGAGTGCCCTTCGCTGGCTTTCCACATTTTTACGAGATTTAAATTCAATGGTTCCGAGACACTTTTGAGGCTTTTGGTTTGGTTTTGTTGCTTACCTTGGATGGATTCCGGAGAGGCTGGCTCTTTGTCGATTCGACCAAGTGCATCACTTGCTGCAACATTCAAAAAACAAAACCATTTGTTAATATCAATATAAAAACAGAAAGGAACGATAATTCTTCCACAGAAATATTTATATATTTTCATATATTTCATCCTATCCCAATCTCTAACATATCTTTACAATATTTATTCTTTCAATATATATTTATATAAATAAAAATATCACATATATGTGACGTGTTTTTGTTATTTAATAATCAGTCAATTGTTATTGTATGATGAAGTTGATTAGGAATAACTTTTATGTTAAATATTTTGTAGATTGCCATGAAATAATAAAATATATTGTTTAATCGATGAGTTGCGGCCATTTTATCCGTTAAAATTCTTCATTCAAGTGGATTATAAACATTTAAAGAAGATCACAATAGTTACATTTATTAAAAAAACTTCTAGATTTATTTAATTCCTAAGAATCATATTATCTATAAATATCATTCATTAAAAACTAAAAATTACGCGTAATCAAAACAAATTCAAATAAATTACTCGTCAGTTGGTATTTTAACCGGTCAAAATGTCTACACAATTTCCCTTAATTCGCTCGTTAACTTTTCCAGATTAAAAAAAGATCAACGGACACAGCATGAATATTCAAATAATCTATTTGTGGTCCAGGTATTTTCGTGGGGTCCGCAGTGACCAGTAATACCCCCTTTACGATGGCAGTCATACGTCACAAGAGAAGAAGGAAGAAGTGACCCACGGGGCCACCTCAGTAGCACCCCCTGGGGTGTTACTTCTCACCCGCTACCAACTACATTCAGATAATCCCATCTCCACCTCCCCCTATCATCGAAGACATATCAATATGCCATTCCAGTGGACACAACCCGCTTATAAATATCTCTCAATTTCTATTATCCCATGTATCACCCAATTCCTTCATGAAATCCCCAAAATCCCGTGAATATATCCAGCGGATGTGCCCTCATCACTGTCAAACTCATTCCCTCATTCCCTCGAGTGTAAATAGGGGTACATGACGATTTTAAATGCGGGAATTATACATAAAAATGAGCTTTCAATTCATCGTCAGTTGTTACTCCAAATATAATTGGCTGCCCGTATATTTTTGATGAATACTTATGACGATGATTATGCAGATGAGCTGTGTGACGTCTATTTATTGCCTGGAGGAATAAAATTACGCAGTGGCATTGGTGAAGTAAGGGGGCCGAATGCTTACGGATGATGTTGGATACTAAAATATTTGATGGCAAAGGATGTCAGGGGTGTGCCCCTATATGGATGGATTATCGAAGGCACGAAATTCTCCGGAGTGTCGTAAAAGTGATACAGCTGGACGTGAAGTCCGTTTTTCCTTATTCCTGTGCTCTACTGCAACAGTCTGACCATTTCTTACTTCAATGATGTGTTTAATGCGCGTTCTACATCCGTTCAAATGATCATAAAACGTATTTTTCAAGATCTATGAATATGGTAATGGTGCGTATTTATTTTATCTACCTTGGGGAAGCTATTTTACGGGGGAGGGCAGTTATTATTCACGTGATTGCTGAGGGGTCCGATGGACAGTGGCGGTTTGCCTTTATTATTTATTAGAAAATTGCAATGAATTGACAACCGCAGGTATCGCGTGTGTGGTTTCGGACAAAGGTCGGTATTGACTGACAGAAAATCTCAGCGGGGGTATATGCACTACAGACTTCGTAGCAATATATCTGGAAATGTACACAGACAAATGCTTTCCTGAAACACGAAATTTGGAAATATTTTTTACGATTTTTACTAATTGTACCTGAATTTTTTCCATATTTTACTTATTTTGAAAATTAATTTATTTAAAAACGTAAAATGTTTGATAATAATAATAAATATGTAATAAACATAATATTTCTGGAAATGGTAAATTATGATTTCAAAGGTATAAATTATTTTTCCAAATATGTAAAAATGAGAAAGAATTTGTTAAAAATTAGAACTCCTCTGTTTTCTGTCCGTGGTATGGATAAAGGTCGAAGTGAGGGTGAGAATCCTCCCCCCAATTTTTTCTCCTCATTTTTTACCATGAATACAGAATGCAACCTTCGAATCTGGCTTGCGTGGCCACGAGCTCGCCGATCATCAATTTTTAAGAACTCCCTCTCCCCCCCCCCTTCC